TCATGTTGGGTGACCCCAACATGATGTACTGTGGCACAATTCACATTTCTTTATATATTTGGCAAAATGTCCTGGATGTTTTTCACCTAAACTATGATATTTACCATAGTATTCACCACCATGATCAAACTTGAGACTCTTAATTATTTTGTTGAGTTGATTCTTAACTTCAACCTTAAATGATTTGAATACGTCTAAAGATTGAGATTTTTCATGTATAAGATATATGTATGCATATATAGAGTAATCATTTATGAATGATATAAAATATTGTTGACCATTACATGAAGGTATGACCCACAAATGTTCGTATGTTTTAATTTTCAGACGTTAGAAACTCTATATGCACCTAATTTCTTTGTTTTGACATGTTTATCTTTAATGCATTCAACACAAACATCAAAGTTTGTGAAGTCAATCAAATCCAAGATCCCATCTAACACAAGTCGTTCAACTCTACTTTTATATATGTAACCCAGATGTTTGTGCCAAAATGCTCCTAAGTTAGTATTGTCAATTTTATGCTTAGTACCACGTGATTTCGTATTTCCAATAACATTTGAATTGATAGACAAAAGAACCATTGTTTCCAAACAAACACAAATAATCCAATTTGTTCAAATAAGAAACTAAAACCAAATTTCATCTAAATAAGGACACAACAAAATTGTCTTTCAAATCAAAATAAAAATTGGGGTATAATAATATCTAAAATACCATATAGCTTTCACCTCTACTGGTTTTTCATCTCTAACACATATCCATCTTTCAAAATCAATTAGGTTCTGGTAGCTTAGATAACCCTTTATTAAAACCCTAATATTAGTAGTGGAACCAGAATCTAACCACCAAGTATTTCTAGGTACTGAAGCTAAATTGACCTCTGAACAAACCAAAACGACTCATGCAATTTGAGTGATCTTACTCCAAGTGTTTCTAGGTACTGAAGCTAAATTGACCTCTGAACAGACCAAAGTAAGATCACACTTGCGACTCATATAATTTGAGAGATCTCATTTCTCCTAATCTTTCCTATCTTTTGAGTTACTAGAGTTCGTAGGAGATGTGGGTTTCTCAATCCTTAATTAGGGTCAAGATTCATGCAGCGAAGAAGAATTTCCATGTTTTTTTTAGTCCTGAAAATTTATCACATTAATAATTGTTTGTTACTTATATGTTTATGTTTTTTTTTATTATTTTACGTTATGATGTGGCGAATTTCACTAATTTCTGAAGTCTAAACTGCTGAATTCTTTTGGTTGTTACACAATTTTTGAAAAGCAAAGTCAAATAATTCTCATAGACACGTGGAATTGTGAATAAGTGTTTTTCATCTTTCTTTTCACATATTCGTTATTGTGTTGAAAAACTAGAGGTTCCTTCCCTCAGAAATCATGCGAAGAATCCTATATAAAATAAAAGTTCCATTTCTCCTTTCATTAATGTAATTAGTTAGTAAGTGAGCAATTCAAAATAAATAAATAGAAACATGGCTAATTATTTCACTGCACAAGTTATAGTGATGGTTAGTATCGGCCAGAAGTGAATTCTCATCACCACTAATTAGAATTTGTTTGCTAACAACATTTTTTTATTTATTAGGTTAGATCCTAATCTAGTATCATGTTGATATTATATTTTGTTTATGCACATTTCGACTAAATAAATAAAATATCTAATATTTTTTATATCATTTTTTAACTAGGGACACTTTCTTTCAAAGATCATGAAGTACTATCACCACCTATTTTTATATTTTCACTAATTAATTTTTTGATTATTTGTAATATAATTTTTTAGCATACACCACAACCACTTATTTCGTTTTTAAATATAAATTTATATATAAGATCCGGATAAAAACAAAATACATTTTATTTTTATTTTTATTTTTATAATTTATAATATTAAATATTTAATTATAATATTTTATTAGATGATAAAAATATTTAGAAATTATATAAAAAATTAATTAATAATTATTTTTATTTTAATTTTTAAAAATTTGAATAAAGGTTTATATTTTAATATAATCTGGTCAATAATTTTCTTTTCTTTCTTTTATTTCGGATTTGATTATTTATTCTTTATTAAAAAAAAATTTAAATTCAGTGTTTTTATTTTAAGATATAAGTTGAGATTTTCGTTTTGAACTTTTAAAAGTTATTATATGCTTTCGTATTATGAAAATTATTACACTTTTCACTCTCAAAGCAAAAGTATTTTTTTTCATACAACAGATATAAAAAATAATAAATATGATTAATAACAAATCAAAGTAAAAAATAAAAAAATAACAATTATGAATAGTTTCGGATTATAGAAAAAAAAACTTATTGAAAACAAGAATGACATATGGTATGATTATAAAAGGCTTAATAGCCTATTTTATCCCTAATTTTGTTGAATAATGTTAATTTCATCCCTCGTTTTAAAAGTGTTTAAAATTGATCCTCACTTATTAAATTTTGCGTCAACGTCGTCTTTTTCTCTTTCTTCTGTTCCTCTACAACGCAGCAAACTTTTTTCTTCTTTTGACAAGTCTATCTTTCCGTGGAAAGGACATGATAATTACATTGTCCAGTCTTTAACAATTGTAATTATTTACTAAATTTAAGTCATTAATATTTAAAGTAAAATATTATTTTAACAGAGCTTTTATAAATAGTTCATATGATAACGCTAGTTAATATATAATAATAAAGTATTGAATGTTGTAAAAATTTAAAAAAGCTCTGAAATGACAACTCCTCATGCTAAAAATATAATTTTCAAACATAAATATATTTTGTTGCAGAATATATTTTATTCATTTAAAAATATTATAAATTCAATTTTAAAACTAGAATTGAGTTGTGCTAAAAGTCACCCCTAAACTGGTTTTGAAAGTGTATTGTTAAAGAAACAAGAAACAAGAAATGGAAGAATAAAAAATAGCATAAACACCAGAAAAAGAAAAGTAATTTGGAAAAATATTACAGAGAATTAGATGCTACTGAATTATAAGCTCTAATTCCTCTCTCTTCCTCACTCTTCTCTCTCACTAAACGCCCCCTCATGCCTCACCCTTTTTCATTTCTTTTCTTTCATCTGGTTTGGAGTTGGTTTCTTTTTATTTGTTCTTCTTTTCTCCAACTGCGTAAATGGTAATGATGATTCAGGAAAGACCACTTCAACTTAAAGACCAATTACATTGAACTAAGAAATCCTGATAAACTGGGAGCCTTATTATGCATTAGACCAGAAGAACCACTTGATCATGAACTGAAACTTTCCAAAATGAAACATGAAAATAAATATGAAACATGATATCTCCCTGCGATGCCCACGTGATATCTCCCCCTTTGGTTCACCCCATCCATATGAAACATGAAAATCCTTCGAACAATTAGTCATTGGTGAATCTTCAATGTCCCTGCTGTTACTTTCTGGTTTTCCCGAGAGAAACAAAGCAAGCTCATCTTGTTCTCCTTCGTCTAAACGGAACAAAGGTAGGGATGCCTTGCTTACCGATTCACTTATCGAATGCTCAACTTTCATTGTCTAATCCTCAATGACAGTGATAAATTGTTGGTGTCTACTTCTCGCTTCATCACTTGAAATTTTGCCATAACTTGACATCACTGCCCGCTCAAATACCTCTAACTGCCATTTGGTAGTGCCAATTGCAATATGTAGATCTCTACACACTTCATCAGAGTTCCACATGCTAGACACATCTTTTGTTGCGTGTAACACCATATCCTATAAGTAGATTCCATCATGTTTGCGGACTCTTGAACTTCTTCGACGGCATTAAAAAAAGATCCTTTTCCCACCGGTCAAAACTCGACGCCATGAATAAATTTAGTTTACCAAAAATTGAATGATAATTGAAAAAATAATTGGGAAAAAAAATTAACTCAGTGTACAAAACCCTAGGCGATGAAACCTCTGCTACAGTGATCAATTAATAAAATTGGTCTATGCGGGTGAGTCGTAAAATTAAACGCAGTAAAGAAAGGAGAAACGGTTAAATTAAACGCAGTAAAGAAAGGGGAAACGAAGAACGAGGGATCCGTGAGAACGGTTAAAAGGGAAGAGGTGATGAAGAATGTAGTGGAAACTGAAGAGGGAGGGACAACCATGAGGCTGCGAAGTGTGTTGGTTGTTGGTAAAACATAGACAAAGAGGCTGCCTTGAAAAGTAAATTCAAAACTGACAAAGTAATTATTTTCACTGCAGAACACTGACAAAAGTTTGTTTTGCATAGAAAAAGAGAGGAGATAAGAAAAAAGTTAACGACGTTTATACGTATTTAACGGAAGGACGACATTGATGCAAAATTTAATAAATGATGACCAATTTCAAATATTTTTAAAACGAGGGATGAAATTGACATTATTCAGCAAAAATGGAAACAAAATAGGCTATTAAATCATTATAAAAATACACATATAAATCTACCTATGAAAATTAAATTAAAATTGTTTTGATTTGAATTTAATATTAAATTAAAAATTAAATATATTTTTAGTCCTATGTTCTAAAATTGGAAGATGTTTCAGTCCAAAAATTTTAAAACGAATGAAAATAATCTTTTAAAACATATATATTTTTTTAAACGTGTTCAATCAGACCAATATTTATAACATGTCTAGACAATGTAAATAACATAAATATCATCTTAAAACGAATATAACATATTAAAAAATTTAATTAAAAAAATTATATTAACTTATTTTTAAAATTTGAAAACAAAATTATATATTGAAACATAAACGAGTTTTAACTCCGCCTCCAAATCATATCTCTTAAATTAAATAATAAATAATATTTGCGTTATATTATTTAGTTTCACTAACCTTTTAATAAAAATAAAATCTGAACTAAACCCAGTAAGAAACATCTTTAGATAAAAGGCCCATTATCCGGGAAGTACGCAAATTGGCCCAACTATAACAGGCCTAAACCCAGAAGACGGAAAAGGGTTTTGGCATTTGGATATAAAAATTGAACTTAGGGTTTGGAAGTGCACTTGTGCAGAGGAATCGCGGCAGAGACGAAAGAGGAACCCTAAAGCAGAGGAAGATGGTGAAGTTCCTGAGGCCAAACAAGGCAGTGATCGTCCTGCAGGGCCGTTATGCGGGGCGGAAGGCTGTGATCGTTAGGTCCTTCGACGACGGAACCAGGGAGCGCCCCTATGGCCACTGTCTGGTTGCCGGAATCAAGAAGTACCCTAGCAAGGTCATCAAGAAGGACTCCGCCAAGAAGACGGCGAAGAAATCAAGGGTGAAGGCCTTTGTGAAGCTGGTGAACTATCAGCATCTAATGCCCACGCGCTACACGCTCGACGTAGATCTCAAGGACGCCGTCAACCCCGACGTCCTCTCCTCCAAAGACAAAAAGGTCACCGCTCTCAAGGAGACCAAGAAGCGCTTCGAGGAAAGGTTCAAGACCGGCAAGAACAGGTGGTTCTTTACCAAACTCAGATTCTGATCACCTCCACATTTTTCTTAAGCCTTTCCTGATCTTACTTTTTCCAATGTAATCGAAGATCTTATGAGATAGTTTTGTTATCTTCTTTTACATCCGTTGCACCTTTTTATATTAATATTTTGGGTTTTTTTAATCAATTTCTGATCAACATTTTGGTTTTTTTTATAGTAAAGAATTTTGATAGACGTCTCCGTTTAATTGGAAATTTTATGTTTTTGTTTTATAAGTGCTGCGTTGTGGTTGTGATTGTGGTCTTATGGTTGTAGTTTACATGATTCAGCACATTTTTTCACGGAATTAACGACCGTGTTATAGGCGTGATTGTAGGATAAAGTGAAATTACATATTGGATTTATTATGTTCGAATATGAAAGCCGATTTATCAATGGTGGAAGTTTTACGTTTCTGTGGGCATTATTGATGTAGAATTCGGGAATAAAGATGAATCGTGTAGTTTGGCCCTATTGGGGCATCGTGGTCACAAGTTCCCCACTCTTTGGCCAAATTGCCAACTCAGAACAAAGCATGGTTAATGTTCCATTCTATGTACGTGTCTTGGAAAGTACAGAATCCAATCCCCAATTAGAATGATATTTGTGAACTTGGTGACGCTTTTGGTTAATGTCTCCAACTGATCAACTGCCTTTCTGACACTCAAAGATAAAATGATCAAGTGCAACCCCCAGTTCTATCATGTTAAAAGAGAAAAATACCTTTTAATCTCATAAAGTTATAAAAAAAAGGTTAGTATAATCATTTTGTTATTAAAGTTTATATAACTAATTTATATAATTCAAGTATATATATATATATATCAATTAAATTCTTACTTTTATCCAGTGTAAATGTCAAGTTATTTTTAGACTAAAACGAAGTTATCTCTGTTTATTCTTTTACTCTGTTTATTTATCTCGCTAATATAGTTATCTCTGTTTATTCTTTTACTCTGTTTATTTATTCTCCATTGGAATCATTCTTTTACTCTGTTTATTTATCTCGCTAATATCAATTTCATATACCCATTATGCAGTTGAGAAATTATCTATATAAGTATCATTGTTCATATAAAAATCTTCCATACAATTTGAAGTTTTTGTTTAATTGAATGAACCCTTGAGGTGTGCAAGCATAAAGAAACTTGGATAGTAAAGTGTACGTAAGCTTTCAACACAAATAGGCCTTGGACGGAATAGTTAGAACGTTAGAATATTTGGAAGAGACAAGACATTTAGGCTTGATGACTTTGACAATCTAAAGCAGCCTGAGGTGAAACTCATTGTACTTCACAAAAGGCCTACTACGTTGCTCGGAAAGAACAAAGCATGATCTAAAATTATCACTTCTGAAAAAGGGAGCTCAGAAACCATGAAACAACATTCAAACTACGACTCTTACGATACAACAATTAAGTATAATATAGAATGACAAATTTTAAGAATCTCCAACTTCTCAATATTCTCTCTTTTCTGAGATGGAAATTTTAAAAATACAATCAAATGATGAAGGTAGGTTCCACTTCCAATACTATGCCAACCAGACAATAAGGAGGGGGTGACTTGGTCTTCTAAGCAGCTACAATTAATCATTCTGTACTTCATCGTCCATTAAGCAACATTCTCACCTCAATCAAAGTCAGTTCTTCCTGTGACGAAACAGAAACATCTCAATTTATTCAACCAGAATGTTTCTCTTTAGGGTGGTAGGGGAATATCCCAGGTGTTAGATATATATTATATCTTTTAGTTAGTTAGTTATTATTTCTCATTTGTATTTTGGGTTTAGCCCATATTTCTTCTATTATAAATAGATAACCTTATGTGTGTATTTAACACAAGGGGATATTCTCTCCCAATCTTCTCTATTTCTCATATGGTATCTAGAGCACAGGAATAGTTCCAGTCAACTCCACGGTCTCCGGCACCCATCACTGCCGCTGCCGTCGCCGCCGCCGTCGCCGGAGTTCCAGAATCGACCGGCGACCACACCATCGGAATCGTCTCGGCCGGGCGACCACCATCGTACGAAGATCGCGGCGAACGGACCTCCCACGCGCCTCCACGCGCCGCCGCAAGAGTCGCTGCTGCCGCCGCGCGTGCCGGCGCGTCGCTGGAGCTTTCTGCCGCCGATCAGCACCGCCGTGATTGCCTCCTCGCCCTCTTTCTGGATCTGTGGTCGTTGCGTCAATCGGAGGGAGCACTTTGAATTTTTAGGGTTTCTCCTTCTCTATGGCGTCTTCCTCGTCTACAAACACCTCTATTGGTGGCTCATCTTCTGATCCTTCAATATATACCAATTATGTGAATGTACACTTGTCCATTGACAAGTTAGATGGCACAAATTATGCAACATGGACGTCCGACATCAAACTTTGGTTGAAGAGTCAAGGGTACTTAGATCATCTTACTCAAAATGTGACTACTGCTCCCATAGATGACACTTCCCGCTGGATGAAAATTGATGCTCAGTTATGCATTGTTATAAAGTCCACCATTCACTCCTCACTGAAACAAATGTTTCGATCCTATGAAACATGTTCAGAAGTATGGGCACAAGCGAAGTTGTTATACACAAATGACACTCAGCGTCTTTATGGTGTTTGTCAGGACCTATTAATTGTTATTGGTTCGCGCAATCCTGGTCCTATGGCAGAATATTTGGGTAAAATTCATGCCCTTCTTCATGACTTT